ATTTGAGCATAGTGCAATCCACCTGATAAAACAGCAACTGTCAAGAAAGAACGATCTGTTATGGAACAGTATATTCGGAAATTAATTTATTCTGATCTCAATAAAAAGACTGTAGAGAAAGTATTAAAGTTGTTACGCAAATTGAACTGGGATGATAAAGAGGTATAAATTATTAACAAATATATTCTCAGTGGACGTTGTTGCAAACGGAATTCAATATTAAAAATTCGCGTCATAGGTGTATAAAGTCCTCGAAAAATGTTTCTCCAAAATTTGGAAAATAAAATACAGTAATATACATTTAATGGCAATTTTAGCCTCTGGGTTGCACCGCTACCATTCTGATTTTGGCGTCGCATTAGTTGATAGAGTTATTGAAGATATTAGAATCGAACTTGAGGTAAGCAAAATTCTATTCCGTATAAATGAACGCTAACATAAATCACTGTTTTTAATTAACTATATTTGATTCATCTAGCAAAACATTTTCAAACACAATCAGCGTCGTATTGCAACTGTGAAATATATTGGTGAACTTTATAATTATCGAATGGTTGATTCGCCTGTCATATTTGATACATTATACACCATTGTTACCTTGGGACATGGTAAATAATTATTTCATTTACGCTAACAAATATTTCGTCAGATTGTGTGATAACATATTTTATAAACAGAATTTGGCCGACCTTCTCCTACTCGAATTAATCCCCTGGATGCACCTAATGATTTTTTTCGCATTCGTTTATGTTGTACTTTACTTGACACTTGCGGAATGTGTTTTGATAGAGGTAGTTCAAAGAAAAGGCTTGAAGATTTCTTGGTGTTTTTCCAGGTAATTGTTGTCAAATGAATATCTTTTTTGCCTTAAGACCTTTTTTTGAACTCCATCTTACAATTTCATAGATGTATATCTTAACAAAACAAAGATTATCTATGGATATTGAATTCATGATTGCTGACTTGTTCGAGGTACGATCCATTATAATAACTTTTTGGCAATTTTTCTGAGAACAAATTAGAGTAATATTCCATTTTCAATAAAACCAATTTAGATGTTAAGACCAAATATGGTCTTGTATAAAACATACGAAGAAGCAGCTGAGGAAGTGGATCAAAAATTGTTACTTAATCAAAAAGCTTTTCAACAAGTGGTAGGAGTTGTAAAAAGCCAGGATGATGGTTTAGAAGAAAGCGAGTTGTCATCATCATCAGATGAGGAGGATGATGATGGGCGTGAATATTTGGGAAGTGCTGTCGAAGGAGAAGGATCAGATGATGAGGTGATTGTTTATAAGTAATTAATTTCAAGCTATCTTTATGTTTTATAAAATAACTGATTTAATTTGTCTGTTATATCGTTTTATAGCAAGCTGATACTGATGAAATAGAAGAGGTTGATGATGATACTGAGTTAGTTGTTCATACTAACCGGCAAGATAAAATCTCATTAGAAGAGGATGAAGAATTTGAACGAGAATTTAGCCGAATGATGACTGAAAGTATGGAATCACGCAAATATGAAAGAAAGCCTGCTATGCTAGATGTGGCGATTCCAATGCATCCAAAAAGTATAGACAAAGCAGCAGACCATATAGATGGTAGTGTGTCTTTTACCTTACTGGTTAAAAAAGGAAACAAACAGCAGGTTCGTACACATTTTCTTTATAATATATATATTCATTTCATCAAGATTTACGAAGGTTTTACGAGCAAAATGTTCATTTAACAGACAAAAACTATAGAAGTTCCGGCCGAAAGTGCATTAGCCGTTAACACACGATCCAAACAAGAAGCTGAGCGTGAAGAACAACAACAACTTAAAAAACTGGTCTTAAATTACGAGGAAAGGGAGGAGCAAAACCAACGAATTGCACTTGAACAGACTTTAATGCGTAGCGGGATGAGAGTTACTTATCAACCTAACAGCCGCCGAACTAATCAACGAGGCAGAAAGTTGTTGCAACACCAAGGTGGTGGTGGAGGCGGAAATTATGCTTAGTGCATGGATCCGGATATCTAATCGGATATCCTGGTAGACATCATATTTTATATTCCTTAATCCGGGGGTCCGCTAAAGTGGTGTAATGATTAAATTGACGGTCTAGGGGGGGTCGTGCAGATCAATTGACGATCATCAATTTTAGTAAACAAGTGTTTTTAATTTGTTTAGAATCTTTAACCAAAGCTAGCATAATAACTACCTCATCAAAATTTAATAAATTATTTTTTTATCCAAACTTTACAGACTCATAGAATTCAGATAAAAAAATTTTTATCGAAATCGGTCAGGTGGTGGTCGAGATATTTTCACTCAAAGTTTTTTAAAAAAATCCAAAACATTTAGCACAATAGAAGCTGCGACAAAATTTGTTTAAAACTTTGAGCGAAATATCTCAACAATCACCTGGCAAAATTTAGTGAAATTTTTTTTTTATTTGAATTCCACGAGTCTGTAGAATTCGAATAAAAAAATTGTCATTAAATTTAGTTAAGTGGTTGTCGAGATATCTTTGTTCAAAAATTTTTACATTATATAGAAATGGCGTCATAATTTTTTAACACAAATTTGATCGAAGATGTCTCGGCACTCACTCGATCAAATTCGATTGAAATTTTTTTATTCGAATTCTACAGAACTGTAGAATTCGAATAAAAAAATTTTCATCGAATTGATCGAATGAGTGCCGAGATATCTTCAATCAAAGTTTTTAGAAAATTTTTAGAAAATTCTAAAACGCCTGTCTGCGCAATAATTTTTAACGCAACTTTGATCGAAAATATCTCGGCACCTACTTGACTAAATTCGATATAAAAAAAAAATTTATTCTAATTCTACAAATTTGTAGAATTCATATGAAAAAAATTTCATCGAATTTGATCGAGTGGGTGCCAAGATATCTTCGATCAAAGTTCTAGAATTCCAAAACGCCTATTACATAAAACCTGTCATAATTTTTAACACACCTTTGATCGAAGATATCTCGGCATTCACTCGACCAAATTCGATAAAAAATTTTTTATTCTAATTCTACAGATCTGTAGAATTCAAATAAAAAAAATTTTCATCATCGTATTTGGTCGATCAAAGTTTTAGAGAATTCTAAAACGCCTATTATATGAAAACTACATCAAAATTTTTAATACAACTTTGATCGAAGATATCTCGACATTCACTCGACCAAATTCAATGAAAACTTTGTTTTCGAATTCTACAGATGCGTAGAATTCGAATAAAAAAAAAATTCATCGAATTTGATCAAGTAGTTGCCGAAATATCTTCGATCAAACTTTATAGAAACTTAAACAAACCCTTAAAAATTTAAATTTTTATTAAATCTTATTTGAAAAATAGCTAAAATTTTGCAAATTCTGCAATTTGATTGGCTAATATGTTTTTTATCCAATCAAATTGCAGAAAAACTTCTAATGGCTCAAATATGACCTCTGTTTGGGGTCCTATAGGATTA